AGAAGAAGAAGAAGAAGAAGAGGAGGAGGAGAAGGAGGAGGAAGAGGAAGAAGAGAGAATGGAGAGAGGAAGAAGGAAGGGAAAGAAAGGAAGGTAGGGTTCAGCTAGAGCCACAAGAATATTAGAAAAGAACTTCCTAGGTGTGGCCCAGGATTGGGAATTAACTTGGTGCAGACCATTGGGCTATGACTGCCCATGTCCCCTCCTCTCCAGAAACCCACACCCTAAATCCTATCACTCCTAAGAGGACCTGTTCCTCTCCCTGCCCAGTGTAACAGTTGGAACACAGTTGGGTTCTATAAACTCCACCTAGGAAACAGTCAGTCCTCTGATATGCAGCTGTGTCACCCCCTCCTACCCCCGTGCCCCGAGAGCAAGGCAGGCCCTGAAAGTATCTCACCCAGAACATTCCATAGCTGCTCATGAGGTGTTCTCCAGATTGGTTTCCATGGAAAAGCTGGGACTGAGTCTCGCCTCTACTGTTTGTTTTGCATTTCTGTTGTTATTACAAAAGCAACACATGCTTGTTCATTGTAGCAGTCAGCTGTGCAGGTGATTCCTATGCTTGTGCCAACATACTGGGTTTGCATGGCACCATATTGTTCTGCAAGCTGAGTCCCTGGGCATCGACTTGAGATGCGGGGGCCTAGGGAGATGGGCGGGGAGTGTAAATGTTGGGACTATCAAGTGGCAGGACTTTGATTCCTCCTTGGAGTTTGGATCACTTTGGGGAGATGGGCAGAGACCTAGGAAAAGAAAAGGGGGATGTAGAGGATTTGGGGCTGCTCAGTTAGTCCTGGGCGAATGGAGCTCCTAGAGCCAACATTTTTGCTTAAGAGAAAAAACAAATGGGTAATTTTTATTTCAGCATTGAAGAATGTCATAGGTAAACTGTCTTGTGGGAGAACAGAAAGTTTGGAAGGAGATGGTTGCCAGTGGGATGACACTCAGGTATCTAGTTACATTTAGCTCTGAAGTTTAAGGCAAAGGGATCTACAAAAGAGATGCAAGGTGGACTGAGTGGAGCTGTGCCTGAGGTGCTGAGGGTGACAGACAAGTTTGTTTGAGAGGAGGTGGTATGACTCATGGAGAGAGTCCAGTATCTATTGATGGTTTACCATTTGATTTAGTTACAAGAATCAGGTAGGCGGAGTTAGAAATAAATTTGCTCAATGGTAATTCGAGTATCACTTGGGATCGGACGTTTTTGGATTCTGTGCACCGGGGAGAAATGGAGGGCAGTGGCCTTAGGAACCTTGCCATGCTAGTGAGCGGAATGGATGTCCCAAAGCCACTGAACTCAGAGGGAAACCAGAGGAGGTAGCTATATCAGTCAAGGCCCAGGAGAACCTTGAGTAGGGAGGGATTGGCTAGAGATAGCAGTGAGGATGTGCAGAGGCCAAGAGAAACCAGAGTGACAGGGGTAGCAAGATGAGTGGGTGATATATCCCAGGTCCTTGGTCAGGGTAGCCTTACGTGAGGATGGTGGAGAAGCCAAAGGGAAGAAGTTTCAGGAAAGGGCTTCCTGGGGCCTTGAGTGAGCTGAAGCCAGGGAAGAAGAGCACCTATAGCACTTTGAAGAGTGGGCTGGGGAGTTCACCACTGGTCTTTCCAATTTCCTTCTCCGGGCCTCACTGAAGGCTACAAGTGACAGGGAGGTCGTATGTCACATGTAACAGGGTTCCCTTAAGGTAGAATTTGTATAGACAGATGTGGCCCCCATTCTCCAACCCCCATTCTCCTGGCCAATTGCACTGGCCTCAGCTTCACCATCGAGCTACAGAGGAGCTCTTAAAATGCCAGGCAGAGCCGTAGAAACAAACTAAGGTGTTCAAAGTCTTCAGCATAGGGAGTGGCTGTGGGCCCAAGTCCGATTCCTGACTTTGTGTTTCTTTCTCCCTCTTCCTTTAGATCGAGGTGTGTGTGAGCGTCTCCTCGGCCGGCAGCCCTGCTGTAACCTGTGGTTGATGTCCAAGGTTTTGACTGTGTGGGTTTGTGTCTTTCTGGCAGGTGTCTCCTCTGTGACTTCCCTGATGTCCCTGGCTTGGGTGCTAGCCTCCTATCACAAGCTGCTGCGGGACTCCAGGGACGACAAGAAGAGCATGAGCTACAGAGGGGCCCTCATCCACCTCTTCTGGCGCCTCTTCACCATCTCATCCCGGGTTATCTCTTTTGCCCTCTTTGCTTCCATCTTCCAGCTCTACTTCGGGATCTTCGTGGTGGTGCACTGGTGCGCCATGGCCTTCTGGGTCATCCATGGCGGGACAGACTTCTGCATGTCCAAGTGGGAGGAGATCCTCTTCAACATGGTGGTAGGGATTGTGTACATTTTCTGCTGGTTTAACGTCAAGGAAGGGCGGACTCGATATCGAATGTTTGCATATTATACGATAGTCTTGACCGAGAATGCTGCCTTGACGTTCCTTTGGTATTTTTACAGAAATCCGGAGACCACTGACTCCTATGCGGTGCCAGCACTGTGTTGTGTCTTTGTGAGCTTTGTGGCTGGGATCGCGCTGATGCTCTTATACTATGGCGTGCTGCACCCCATGGGGCCTCGGGCTAAGGTCTTTGCCAGCTCCTGTTGTGCCGAGCTGCTCTGGGGCATCCCTTTGCCCCCCGATGTTGAGCCCATGGCACCGCAGACCCCTGGGTACCGGGGGGCCCAGGTTACGCCCACCAGAGCCGTGACGGAACAACAGGAGGATCTCACGGCTGACACTTGCTTGCCCGTTTTCCAAGTGAGACCCATGGGGCCCTCTACCCCGTCGGGGCGTCCTTACTATCCAGAAGGGCCCCTCATTAAGATTGACATGCCAAGAAAGAGGTACCCAGCTTGGGATGCTCACTTTGTGGACAGGAGGCTGAGAAGGACTGTTAACATCCTGCAGTATGTCACTCCCACAGCAGTGGGCATTCGTTACCGGGATGGGCCGCTGCTCTATGAGTTGCTGCAGTACGAATCTTCACTCTAAGAACATCCTGACCAAGTTGAGAAGGGGACCTTAAGTCTGGTCTGCAGTCAATGCCGCTGCAAGAAATATAACCCTCCCTTCCCCCGACACAAAGAACCACCACACCACCACCACCACCACCACCACCACCGACACCACTACAAAAAAAATCAAAAGTCACGTCCCCTTCAGATAGGCTTTCTTTCCAGTCACTGTATGTACACAAAGATATTCTCTATGTTTTGTAAGTAAAAACAAAAAGAAAACCTTTCTTTTGTTTTCTACACATAAGAAACAGTATTGAAAAATCCCACACTATGGTTCATAGGGTGGAGAAGGAGGACGTCTCCACTCCAAAAGAAAAAAAAATTTTATACCTTACACCAAGTGTAGATCATTTATGGGATTGGTGCTGATTGAAAGAACACAACAAACAAAACAAAACAAAACAAACACAAACAAACAAACAAAAAAAACAAAAAAACCTTCAACTGCCTTATACCCTTAGGTGCTGAGTTTCATTAAGTACTGTCACGTTTTCTCATGCAAAACTCTCTGGTGATTTTTTTTGCACCAGGAGAGGAAAATTAAATAATCAAATGAAGCAAATCTACAAATGAAAACAAACAAACAAAAAACAATCAACAAATACAATACAAAGCATTCTTCCTATCTATCTGATTATTTGTATTGAAGAAAACAAATTTACCAAAAGCCAAGGCATAAAACCCTGCCCTCTGTTCGATTTCTCTCCCTCCTCTCCCATCCCTGTCCCCACTGGCAGAGCCTTCTAGGGGCCAAAGGGCTGTTTGGATCTCAAATGGCTGCGAAGGCCTCTGGAAGGCTGGCCATGGGCCACCTCAGTGGTCACCTTGCAAGAACTGCATTTGTTTCTCAGTGAAAAGCAAAGCAGAGCAAAACAAAAAGCCGCCCTAACAATTTGGTAAAGTCCAGAAATTCTACAGCCAATTAAAGGAGATTTCCATATCTGCCATCAAAGAGAATCAGTAATAATAAAACTCAGCATAGTAGCAAAAAGAACGACATCAATGTAAAGGCACAAAACCTAACCCGTGACCGGCAATGATCTCTTCCATCGTTTTAAGGCTGACAATGGTGTCCATCTGTCACATATGCTGTAGTGTAAGGCCTCTTGTTTCCATTTGGTGGGAAGCCTTAAACTGATCTGGAAAGAATTATTCATTTTTCATTTGTGCTTTTTATTGAGAAAAAAAGAAAACATAACACAAAGAAGAAAACTAGAATATATATATATATATATATATCTATATAGAAAAAGTACAAAACCTAACCCGTGACCGGCAATGATCTCTTCCATCGTTTTAAGGCTGACAATGGTGTCCATCTGTCACATATGCTGTAGTGTAAGGCCTCTTGTTTCCATTTGGTGGGAAGCCTTAAACTGATCTGGAAAGAATTATTCATTTTTCATTTGTGCTTTTTATTGAGAAAAAAAGAAAACATAACACAAAGAAGAAAACTAGAATATATATATATATATATATCTATATAGAAAAAGTCAAATTGTAATAACTGACCCATTTCAAAGACTGTTTGGTGCTTCTGTCATTGTGGTTGGCTGAAAGTCATTCAGCTCACCTGGTGCATCTGGGTTGAGTGGGAAATGTGTGTGTGTAGTGTGTCTGCGCGTGTGCTTGCGTGTGCGTGTGTGCCCACAGCGCACATATATATGTGTGTGTCCTGCTGTAAGGTCTTACCGGAAGTACACAAAATTGCTAGGAGGCAGGCGCTGCCGTGGCTCTGAGGAGGGCCAGCGCCAGGGCCGGGGTGGGGTGGGGGTTTCAGGGTGCCCGCGCGAGGCCCCGCCCCAGAGAGCGGGTGTCCACCAGCAGCAGACTCAGGTCTGCATGGCCGTGTGGCGCGGGTGAGGACTTGATTCTGCTATTGATTTTTCTCTTTGTTGTACCAAGTCGAGTATCTGGAGGTGTCGCAGGTGTGTTCAACCATTTGTAAACTTTTTATTTTTTGGAGTATTGTTCCTTTTAGGACTATTTCTAAGTTCTGGGGCATCATCACAATACCACTGTATCTCTACTTGGGCACAAAAAAAAAAAAAAGGAAAAAAAAACATAAAAAAAGAAAAATATCTCCACAAAAGAAGATATATATATATATAAGTATATATATATATATACACACACACACAATATTTTTAAGTAAATACTGTTAGTCTTTGTTGTGTGTAGTTGCAATTTTTTAAAAGAAAATTCCAGATATAACTGTTTAGGGTGCAAGACCTAACATTGAACTATTCTGGAAAAGATGTTCGACTGAGGAATTTTTTTTATGTTTGTGGAGCTGTTTTTTCAAAAGTTATTATTCAAAGAGGCTTCTCCTTCTCACCCCCTTCATTGTTTATCTAAAACTTTTTAAAGTCAGTTGTAAAACCAAACGTTCCTTTCCTTTGTTCTGATCTCCTTGCTCACCGGACTTATCTCGTAACTTTGCAATGCTTCCTGGCCCTGCCCATGGGATCCTCCCAGTCCCCTCCCTAGGAAGCAGGAGGGAGAGGGAACAGAGCACACCTGGGCCTGTGGTGAAGGCCAGCTGGGCTACCCAGTTGCAGCCAGGGGACAGGCCGGCCAGCGTGCCCAGCTTCCCCACTGGCGTGGCCTGGTCACAATGCTGCCGGCTGAGGATCCCACTTTTGATCTCTGCTGTGTACCCTGCTGAGGTTGGGGAAGGTGAAGCTGTATGAGGGGCCACTGAGGTCCCAGCTCTTGTCTGCCCCAGGTCTGGGGCTCTGTGTGTTCCTGGAATGGCTCCCTTGAAGCTGTCCCCGATGCATCCCCTTGGGACCTCTGCTTTCTTATCTATGCTTAGATATATTTCCTTCTCATTTGTACCCTGTCACAGGTATTAATTTGCCATCTCTCTCACTACTCCACATTTAGAGCATGCGTGTGTGTGTGTGTGTGTGTGTGTGTGTGTGTGTGTGTGTTCGTGTTTACATAAAACCTAGAAAGAAAACTGCGGGTGTTGACTTCGAGCACCAAAAGTTTGTGGACAGCTTCCAGCTCAGGGAGGCAGCAGCCATGCGGAGGAGGGAGGAGGCCACAGGACAGTTCAGGAGCCCTTGAGTTCAGCTGCTGTTGGACGTGGCTCTGGAAGCCCTGGACTGAGACACATTTCTCCTTCCCACCCTGCTTCCCCACTCCTCCCTTGGGACCTGTCCCCGTGGTGCAACCGAGACCCTGTGCCTGTTCACAGCTGCTGAGAAAACAGTTTTGCCGAGAGACAGAGGAAGGAAGGCAGACAAGTGAGCAGCGGAGAACTGGTGGGGGAAGGCGAGAGGCAGACAAGCACCGTGACCAGATAGGTGTCCCCCTGTGGTCACTTGGTCCTCATCTTCTAGCAGCCCCTGCTTTTCCAGTCACCAGGAAACCCCCTCTCCATTTGTCCCAGGCAGCCGTTCCCCTTGCTGGCAGGTAGCTGGCCCTGGTGTCACTGCAGGAATCCTCCGGGGGAGTGTGTCCCCCCCAGATGGCTTGGGTCCTGAACATCCAGATCCTCCTTGGCCACAGCACCTATGCAGTGTGGTGGCCTCATCCCCTGGTCATCTGCCACTTGCTCGGGCTCCTGATAACCTTCCGTTTATGGGCCAGCAAGGTGCCAGTCCACTCTGTCCCAACTGCTTCCTGGTGGGTGGCCTATAGCGTTTGTAAAAAGACATCTCTTTTCTTTCCCAGGACACTCTGATGACAATCAGCTCCAGGTACTTGGCTCTGGTAGCAGATGACACCAGAAGCTGTAGAATAAAATCAACCTGACCCTTTGTTCCTCATTGCCCCATTGATCTCCGCACATCCCATATGTCATTGAAACCCACAGAGCACTGGCTCTTCTCTCTGTTCTAAGAAGCAGGGTCCTTCACCATAACTGGACTGCTCTTGTTAGCATTGTTTCTGAAAGCTCTGTCTCCTTGCTCAGCAGGTCTTGTTGCCTCTGTCAGCTTCTGCATGAAAGGAAACCCCAGCCTGTTCAGGCACCCTTGGGGTGATGTCCCTGAGCTCATGGTCACAGCCTGAGACAGGAAGCTGTTGGTCTCTTATGGCCACAGTGAGGGGAGCTAAGCGGCTCTCAATTCACTGCGTCAGTGATGCTGAGCTCACCGGCTCCAAAGTCTTTCATATCCCAAACATTTGTTCACTCTCTCTGGAAGGTGTCAGCTTGGCCTCTAGAGTCACTCTTATTCCGGCAAGTTGGGAACCTGGGACGCCATGGGAAGCGCGCAGCCCAAGATCATCGGGGGCCAAAGTGGACCTGGCCCAGTGTCTGCAGGCTGCGTGTGCCATTGCCATGACATGGCCTCAATCAAGGGAGACAGCGTTTCCCTACAGCCCCAGGGGACCCCACCGCTCCCCAGGCACAGAATCACCCGGCACCTCCACAGCTGTGGTCACTCGAGTCGCGCAGTGGCTAAAAGAGAGCAGAACCTGTCTGGCCATGAGGGTGATTCTGCTCTGTGTGCCATTTCACACCATGGGCTAGGGCCCCTGTGCCACTACAAGCCCGCCAAATTACGTGGTTTCTCTATTCTCTATCCACCCGGTCATGAGGACAGAAGAAAAGGAGTCCCACGCTGGTGTCATTTGGAGATACTCTGCTAGAGCCATGGTCCCACTTTCTTGCATCCATCTGAACTCCCTTAGCTTTCTATGTGCCTGCTGATTGCACACCTCCCTGTTCCTGTCTCTGCTGCTCTACTCCTGCGGCTGGACCCGAGCACAATGTTCCCTGCTCCTTACCTAGGATTGGAGCCAGGAGATATCAGCATGCAGGCTCAAGGGCTGAGAGAGAGCTAGACTGGGGCTCACTCCAAGGCTTCCGCACCTGCCCATTCCTGCTTTTTGGAGGGTTGAGCTGGAGACAGTCCGCTAGCGGAGAGTGGCGTTTCCTGTTCCATTAAAGAACTACTGTATTTACACAATCAGATATGGTTGGAGGGAATGAGGCTTAAATTTAGAGAGTGTAAAGGGAAGAAAGACCATTGCGATTTCACCTAGATCCAAATGACATTCTTGGTATAGGTAGGGGAATCTGCAGGGTAGACCTGGAGTGCTTAGGGGAGCCCTGGGAAAGACCATGTGCTAGTGAAGGAGAGGACCCAGGCCCGCGCTACTTACAGGGATTTCACTGCTTTATTCCCCGGCGTGTCCTCAAGGATGATGGCCTCCTCATATAGGATGGCACAGGCATCCTCTGGACAATGATCTCTTCTCATGAAGGTCCGGGTCCGAGTCTGTGTACTTTTGTCCTCATCTCAGTCTGGCCACTGTCGTAGAAGCAACAGTCCACGCTCACCCACTCTCACAGCCCAGCCACAGGAATGTGGTTGCACGGAGGCCAGCCCATCTGCAGTTACAGTCCCTTAAGCTCATAAGCAGCCTGTCCCTGCGCATCCTAGATCAATGTGTGCCTGTCCTGATGTCCAACCCTGCTCTCTCAGAGAAGTGTTCCTAAGCCCCTCTCTGGGGAAAAAGATGTTGTTTACTTTGAATTCTTGCAGCAGCAACACACGCCTTCCCCCTCATCTTCAGCGGCTCTAAAGGTTTCATTTCTGGCTCCAAACACTGCATCTTGTGCTACTGGCCAAATATCAGATACACTGCCTTGATCCGGCTGCAGCTTTCTTCCTCTGCCCGCCTGGTTCTGTCTGCCTTATTCCTCTCCCCAGGCACCATCTGCTTTTTCTTGCTCCCTGTGCCTTTCCTTGCAGTGGTTGGCAGCACACTGCTGAGCTGTTCTGGAGCCAAAGGTCGTGAGTGCTATTAATGACAGCGCCTGAGGGCAGCAGACGGAGTGCAGCAGGAGTTTCCCCTTCTCCAGGCCGACACCTAAGAATAGATCTCAGTGGACGTGAGCAGGCAGGAGCTAGGGACACCTACCCGGGGCTGCCCCATCGCATGCAGGGCAACATGCAGGTCCTGCAGGAGACCTTGCCTTTGCCCACCCATCCTTAATCCGAATCCCGAGATCCTGGCCCAAACTGAAGTCAGGCAGTAACTCTTTGCTCCTGCCTACAGGGGGCCCTACTCCTAAAAAGTCATCGTCAAACCAAGGAGGACTAAGATATTTATTATTTCCCTTTAGTATAGTGCCAATTGGTACCTGGGTGAACTGTCCATAGCAGACCTAGGCCATGTGTCATGATGGACTCAGATAAGCGCTCACCAGTTCAATGAACTCCTCTGCTCATC